GGAATAATCGGCGCTTCTTTCGGCCATCTCCTTCAATTCCGGCTCGGTGAACCTGTCGCCGTTATTCGAGAAGTAATACTTAAAAATCTCACTTCGGGCTTCCTTGGCAGGCAAGTCGACCAGCACGCGCTTCTCAAAACGCCTTAGGATCGCCGAGTCCAAGTCCCAAGGTCGATTGGTCGTCGCCAAAATGAACACTTGGCCGCTATCGCTTAAGACCCCGTCCAGCTGCACCAACAGCTCGCTTCTGAAGCGTCGCGAGGCGTCGTGCTGAAAATCGCAGGTGGCGGTCAACGCGTCTAGCTCATCGACGAAGATCGTGGAGGGTGCATGTAGCTTGGCCACGTCGAAGAGCACCTTGAGCATCTTCTCAGAGTCGCCCCTCCATTTGTGAATGAAAGCGCTGCTGGTTACGTTGAAGAAGATCATCTTGCTTTCGCACGCCACTGCCTTCGACAGCAAGGTTTTGCCGGTACCGGGTGGACCGTACAGCAAAACTCCTCGCCAGGGCGCAATCAGCCCGGTAAACAAGCCGGGGTGCCACAGAGGGAAGATAACCGCCTCTTTCAGCAGCTGTACGCATTGCTCCAAGCCGACGCAGTCAGACCACGTCACCCCCAAGCTGCTCGGAACAACCTCCTTCAACACCACATCCGCCATCTCCCTCCACTCGCTCGAGTATCCCTCAAACTCGCACAGAGGCCTCGCCACCTCTTCGTCGCCGCTCCCAAACAGTCTGCGCACCTCGAGTGCGGGCGCTTCTTGTACCTTAACCGGCGGCGGAGGCGGTGGCGGCGTTGCGGCCGGCCTCCTCTTCGCCTCCCTTGGCGGCGGTTGCGCCTTCGCCCGTTTCGTAATTTTCGGCGGCCTGCCGAACTTCGCGCTGTAGTAACTCTGATACTCCTGGAGTATCGTGTCGAGATCGACGTTGTCGCACACCTCGACGTCGGGCGACAGCTGAGCTTCGACCTGCAGACTGTCCGCCGAGAGGTTCAGATTGAGCTCGCGCAGATACGCCAGAATCAGGTGGAGCACGCTGCGCTTTCGATCGAACGCCTCTTTTTTCACCTGAAAATTGGGAGGTTGGTGTAAATTTCTGCGAGGCGGCACCGTGCGCAAGGTGCACGAGCTGGCGCATCTCCTACTATTGTGAAACTTTACTTAAATGTTGAACATAACATCATATTTCAAAAATTTTCTGCAATCATTTATAAATATTTTTACAATATTGGAGAATATTCTAGCTAGAGCCTTTGGGCAGTTACAACACTCTGTATATCTTATGGCTCTAGAAAATTCTGCAATATTGCAATCAATACGTAGCACTGGGAGGTCGATGGGGGTATTCGCGATTCAGATTAACAGTGAGACCTCTCGTGGCAGCACATTGTAACTAATATTCGTGGTATAAGACCGCCATTTTGTTTAATTACAATGACCAAAAGTAATCAATATTGTAGTTGTTACAGCTGTAAAAGTAAATGCACTTGCAAAATGTCATTTGCAATCAATGTAATTACAGTTTAAAGAGCAGCAATTTTAAATGTGATCAGTGTAATTATGCAACCAACATTATAAGGATAATTTAAGAAATTGTCGTCTAACGCGTAATATTTCAAGTCTTTAATAAGTGAACAGGGCAATTATTACACAACCAACAAAGGCTAAAGAATCATCGTCTAACGCGTAACATTTCCAAAATCTTTAATTGTGAACAGTGCGATTACTTAGTTATAAGTTATTTTTTGACACACTCGACTTTAGTAACTTTTCTATCATTGCTATCAGTGTAATTACGCTACAATTAAGCGCGGGGTGATTTTGTTACTCCAATGCAATACCTCCCTTAGTAACGTGCGGTTGGTAATACCATATACATATAAAAGAAAAATACTGATTGTTTAATTTGTGGTCGGTGTAAATACCTATGCTACGAATATTAAGGTTATTTTAAAGCATAACCGACGTAAGGGAATGGCGGCGAGTTGTAGATTGTGATCTTCCCGAAGACGAACCTTGTCCATATCGAATCTTACTGGACTTACTTGAAAGTGTTCGGGGGGGCGATAGCATTCCCAAATATTAGATAATTTTAAAATTTTTTTTGGAATGTTTCATAAATAGAATATTCTGCAAGATTTGTTCTCAAAAAAATATGTTGAATGGCTCTATTCTATAATTCAATTGTTTTGATGCTTTCGTTATATTCTTGAATATTTAGCATAGCCCTCTTAAATCACATTTGTTGTGATTAATTTAAAAAATTTCAATGTACGCGTAGGTAATCCAGATCAAGAATTCGAAAGGTAAAACGCCAAATACGTGTCCAATCGACGATTATAGAAACATACGTGCCAATACCAAGAACATTCCTCCACGGGACACTTTAGAATATTTTGAAACATAAAACGAAAGGTCAATTGTAGGTGGTTGTAGAAATATAAATAATAAAACGAGAGTGAACCAACTCGTGTTGCAAAACTAGCGAAACTAATTTGTAAAAAAATGGGTTCGTGTTACTCTTACTTTGTAGTAGGTACTTACACGATCTCGTATATTTCTTTGTATGGAACTTTGTATACCGCTCGCACTTAAATTCTCTGCACAGCCATCCATTGTAAATGTTACTGTCATCGAGACGCAGTCAATTAAGGGGGTAACTAAGCAACCCCTGTTGCTGTTAGTCAAAGGTGCGCCGCGTGCCCTTCAGTTTACTCTCGAGTCATGTCTTAATGAATCACATATCGATAGGCTTTTGTTAACAAAAAAAAACCGAGGTGATTAATATTAAAATTCCTAGGCCCTAGGCAGTTTCGGTTTGCTGACCCCGGGCGAAATCCTAATCTAATCTCTGTAGTAGATAATGCGAGCAACCAAAATTTTCGGGAAGGAAACTTGATAAAAATTTGTCATCATCGAACGCAGTGCAGGTGCAAGAGGAACCTTAAAAATAGAACAACGGGGAGCGACCCGTGAGATGTGCGTAAAAATACGAAAACGAAAACTGTCGCATTGCGTAATTTTCGAAAAAGAAATGACCGCCCTCCTTACCAAAAAATTCCTCCCACGTGTCATCGATTGATGCGGTCTCGCTCATATTTTCCAATCACTGACACGGCCACATTTTTTTCACTTTGAAATAACACGCGCGAAAACACTCGCGATTTCGTAAAGTAGCATGTGGAATACCATGCCCGGCGCGTCAGTTGTACAGAAGCGCTTCGATTGCCGGTCGCGCAAGAAGTGAGTGCCAATGCCAAGAAAGTGCAGGACGCGCGCACCAAGATCGATAGGTGGTCCCTTACAATCAGAGGAAAATATAAACAAGAAACTCCCAGTTTTCCTACGACTGCTAGTAGTTTGCTTAAATTTGCTGAATGACATTTCGCGCGTTTCCGGTCATATAATCAACTCACATTGTTAGGAAATCGACTAAATCAAAATTCACTCACCCGCCCCCAGCAACTTCAGCGAGCTCCATCGACGATATCGATTTGATCGATCCACCAAACGCGAAGAACACAACGCCCAAAGCGAATTGTTTTCACATTTTACGAATTTGTAAATAAAAATAATCCATTTTTACCTCCCAAGCTCTTTCGTTAGTCTTCGGTTTTCGCGGGAGTTTTGAAAAGGCGCGCTACATTGCGAAGGTGACGTAATTCGCTTAGCAAAAAAAATTGGGACGAGTAAATTTAAATGAACCACGTGGGAAGATAATCGTCCTACTTAAGCGGCTAGTAACAGGGTCGGACTGGGCAGGGAAAACGGAAAACTTCTAAACGCACCCCAAATGCTTCTCTTGCATCTTCAAAAGCCCCTAACCTTGTGCTTCTTTTTCTTAGCAAGATCGAATGTTCTAAACCTTTAAAAAAAAGGCTTTCAAAGACACCGAAGATCTCAAAACTAAAAAGACTCGCAAGGAGTCATAGCAGCCCTTAAATGGTCTCTTAAGCATGTTTAAAACGTACAAAGGCCTTTGGCCAGACTTTTTTAAAGGGTTTTGGAAGACCCCCGATATAGGAACATGTTGGCTACCTCTCAAAGCCCTTTGTAGAAGCTTAATGCACTTAGAGACCCTTGAATGTCGTAAAAGGTCTTCGGGACTTTACTTTCAAAAGCTCTTTCGCTACTCTTTATGTCCTTCCGTATAGGCCACACTATATCCACTAAAATTCAAATGGATGCATCAAACGGAATTAAAAGGAAAATTATGAAAAAGATTTACAAGCAAGTTTTTTAGCCTTCTCAAAAAGTAAAATGGTAGGAATCCACTCCTCCCCCCCCCCCCAAGTATAGAGAAAAAAAAGGTACCCATTTGCATCTTTTGTATACTGGGCGGTATCATGGTAACGATAAACATTTGTGCAGTGGATCTGAGGAGTATGGAATACCGCCCAGTATACAAAGATTCGATTATCTGATGAAAGTGAAGTCTTATTTTCTAGGGGAGGGCGGCTCTCGTTAGCGTCTTCTATGGGCACTTTTATCGGAGAGTCTAAATCTGTTATCAGAATTTCCATAGCACGCTAGATGTAGAAGCTACAGGCTTACTTCTTATGGGCGCCATATTGGATTTATACGCAATCAGATGTTTTGTTGAGAAACGAGCGTAAAACATTTTTCTTACGACATGTCATTATTTTTTTTTTCGTCTTTTATCTCATTCCGTAAAAATCCAATATAGCGTCCACAAGACATCACTAACTCTGACACTTTTGAATCTCGGTAGCAGTCGGTTTGATGTGGATGGAACGAATGAATTCCTCTCCTATGTTGTGCAATCGGTTCTTTTATGTGTTTGGTCGTGAGGGTAATTGAATAAGACGCAGAATTTTGTGCGTAACAAAAGACAGCAAATAAGTATACGCACACAAGGTCATACTAGGGAAACCTTCTACGGAACAAAAACCCCGGCAGTCTAAATTATTTTTTAACAGTATTAAGGTTCTCTCGTTCTTTTTTATCGTTGCCCTTCTTCAAATATTTAAAAAAGCGAAAAAATTTAAAACTCACTCACACTTTATTCCGCTACAGCTATAATTACACAGAATATTAAAATATGGGGCGGGTCCGCACCCTCACAAAACTATGAATCAATCTCATTTTGATAGGAAACTAGCTTTAAATTAACAGCGCAGTAAAAAAATGAAGAGGGTCCATCTCAGGCTAACATCACAGATTTCGTCTACCCCTCACGTACTGAAAATGATAGCAGGTACACAAATTCTAACCTAAATTTCGGTTTCGGTATGCGAGTGACTTCTGATCAGTCGATTCTTATCGACGACGGCGCCGTGAATGTCGCGCAGGTTTTGGTAGTTCTGCTTGCCGATCGCGACCTTTTTCAAGAACTCGCTTTGGCTCTCGCCGAAGAGGAACTTCTTGACGTTCTTCTCCATTTCGGCGTACTTGACGGGATCGATCGGGGAGGTCGGGGAGACGGTTTGGTTGCTTTGAATCCACTCGGCGACCCTCTGCTGGTTTAGGACCGGCTCGCCGAGCAAGTCGATCGACTTGTGATCTTCGCTCGAGCACGTCGGCGAGCTGTTGTACTCCGTCTTTTTCAGCTTGATCTTCTTGTCCGACGGATGCGTGTATAAAACTGGTGGAATGTTGGTGTGGACGTTGTCGAGGAGAATGTTTTTCGATCCGGTTTGCAGACGAACGGAACAGTAACGGGGTCCTTTCAATTTGGCACTGTCGTGGAAGAGTTGCGATCGCTCGCACAGGTGGTGGTGGCGCAGTTTCTTGGAGGCTTCTTTGTTTGGTGGTAATTTAGAGCTGGTTTCGCAATTTTGTACCGCGCAATCCTCCTCTTTTAGATAATTATTCGGTTCTACCTTAACAATATTAGATCTAACCTGTAAATTTAAATTATCATATTCGTGAGTATAATTTGGCACATTTTTACTCATAGTTTCGGAATTTTTTACTATCTGCAGCGAGGGTTTACTTTCCATGTCGTTGTTGCACCTAAGGCAAACCGCCGATCTGTAAGTGCCCGTTTGGGTGCCGATGCTGTGGTTAGAAACGTCGTGAAGTATCTTTAAGGTTTTTGAGCATGTACAAGTATCACAGTGTTTTACTAGCGAGCGTTCTCGTTCGCGTTCTTGTAGGACTTTGGCCATGATCGCCGCCGAAACGATGTCGACCGGAGGAGACTCCGGCTCAGATTCTTCCCTTTCGGTCGACTTGGGGATGGAGTAGACCATGGCGGTCGGCGGGAACGTGGGAATTGGCACTTTAATGTTACGCACTTCGGGTGGCGTCTTTTTCTCCTCTGGTTTCTTTTTTCCTGCAACGTAGGAAGATACCTTCGCCTGTACCTCGTTTGGTAACTGTAAATGAAATGACAAGAGTGCTCATTTGTTTTTCCACACATCTGATTTTTACAATATGCGATATGCTTGCCTTTACTAAAAACATCTTTGGTTAAACTTTCAACAAAATATCTTAATAAATAAGAAAATTGACATTGCGCACATTAATCGTCAAGATTTTTCTTGATTGAGGTGACCGAACGCAAAAAAACGAAATATCTTTAAAAAAATTCATATTGTGACTGTGAAAACACGGAACCAAGTAAGAAAAGAACGAGAGATGGCAGATAGTAACCCTATCACCCTCACCATGGACCAGCTAGACACTGACCAACCAACTGCAAGCACCAAACACCGCTACACCCAGGTGGTCCTTCACCAAGTGTCCTACAGCGACCCCAAGGAGGACATCCACGCTTTCCTCGATGCCTTCAACACTTCGCCCAGATGAGGGACGAGGGTCCCAGCCATCTGCAGCCAGATGAACCAATTTACATCCATCTACATGTCAGATGCTAGGAGATCGCTTCGGGCTCAGAAACGCACCCACAAGCTTTCAACGCCTGATGGATCGCTTCAAGGCGTATCTCTACTCGCCTATCTTGACGATCTAATGCGGAACGCCATCTTGTAGACTCTCTCTGGACCTCGGGAAGACTAGCGCCATAAATCAGACGGCCGCACCTCGCTACGTCAAGCAATTAATGACATTCTTGCACACGTGGTACCACCGCTTCGTCTCCGGATTCCGCCGGACTAGCGCGACCCTTAACATAGCTATTAAAGAAAGACGCCACATGGGACTGGACCCCAGAAAAGACCTTTGAGGAACATAAAACAGATTCTCACTTCGGGATCCATCCCACGAAAAGCGGACCTAAACGTACGCTATGGAGGCGGTCCTGTCCCAAGAAGAAGGAAGAGACCTGCGCGAGACCTCCGTGTTCTCCTTACGATGCCGCTACGTGTGAAGAACCCCCCCCCCCTGCGAGTTACGTTCTCCCTGAAGCGTTCAGTATTTACAACTCTCCCAGAAAAATTTGTACCTTCAAAAATAATCATAAGCAAGGTGATTGATCTAAAAATTTGGGGGTGGGCGTAGTATGGAGGCGTGGTATGGAATTCCACCCTCCTGCATATATGAAGAACTTGATGGAATCAGGTTTCGCAATATTTTCTGTGTAAATCTTCTATTCTGAGATACCTACCAAATTTTTTCCTAGGATTTTACTTAGAAAAAATCCCCTCTATATAGGAAACGAAATATAAGAGGAACTTTATCTATCCACGAGCGCCACTTCAGATGATGAAATACAATAACAATGACAATTAAAAATTGGTCCTTCAACCAGATCAAATTTTTTAATCTTTTTTTGTTTGTTAAAAATAGATAAACTTTGTGTACTTTGATAATTACGCAAGTGGTAAATTCAAGCTTGAGACTTACCGAATCTAACTTCTGCGATACAAAGTTGCTTTGTTTACATTGCAGGAATTGTATGGCTAAAGCGACGTCGTTTTTATACCTCTCCTAAAATTTAGATCTGGAAACGACACCTTTTTTCGAGACCAAACTTACGTTATCCTCAGTTAACTTCTTGATCGAATAGTTCGCCTCGGCCAGAGTATGAGATAGGGTCGCTATGTCCTTGGTTAACGTGTTCTTGTCGGTCTCCGAGCTGTCAACTAGCTTCAACAGTTTATCCTCCAACCCCTGGTTGACTCTCTGAATGCGCCGGTGCGCCTCGTACAGCCGCTTATACTTGTCCTGCCAGGTGAACAGCTCCTCGTGTACAGAGGGCTTGTTCGCCTCGTTCAAGACGTTCGTTTCCATTGTCGTGATGTGGCTGTCGCGTTCGACAAGCTTCTGTTTGAGATTTTCGATTTCGACGTGGAGGTGCAGGTCGTGGTCGCTGGCGCACTTCCTGCAGTTGCAGCCGCATTCCTGCAATCTGTCGATTATTTTAAAGAAATACGCACTTGACCGAGTACCTTGCACTGATTGTGCTTATCGTTTGCCATTTCAACAAATTGACAAAAGCGTAAGTAAAGACGTGGAGAGGTATTTATGTAAAGGAAAAGGTGGTGGGGGTTTTTGAAAAGATTAAAACACCCATTTCTGCTTATCGCAAATTTTCATGCGACGTCAGCACGAATTCCCAGTGCTTTTTTAATTAGGATATAATTAACACGACTGTGGTTATAAAAAAAAATAATTAGACAAATGACATTTGACTGTCCATGTCAAAAACAGCTGATTTACTGTGTCTCTGCTATCACCAAATAAAAAAAAGCATTGATTATACAGGGTGGGTATAAAACAATAGACACTTCAATACATTACGCCTTAAAATCTCTGTAAAATGAAAACCTTCCGAGAGGCTTAGGTATTTAAAAAAAACCTAAAGGAGGAAATTGGAAACTCTTAGACGCTGTTCGTGTGACTTTATTCAACTTAACTAAAACAATTGATGAAATATTGAAATGATTAATACAACTCTGATGCCATATCCGCCCACAGGCAACATTTTTGGTCTTGGTGTGGGCATCCGTGACTAAAAGAAGATGATTTTGAGACGGTCAGATTCGCGAGGGTACTTACTTGCTTTCTTTGAGCACTCCATTGAGTTGGAAGCACAGCTCCTCGTTGAACATACAGTTGAACACCTCGCAGATGTCGCTTTCGCGTTCTTTTGGGGCGTCGCCTTCATCTGCGGATGCTAGCGTCGGAATGTCTGGAGATGGGGTGGGCGATGACGGTGGTGAGGTTGATGGGAATGTAGAGGTGGTGGGAGACGCCGAGGAGGGCGACGTTGGTGACATCGTTGAAGGTGATGCAGCTGATGCTGATGTTAAAGAGGGTGAGGATGTGGTTGATGATGAACCTTCACTTGGTTGCACCGTGGTAGCGACGTGATTGCAATAAATCGTAGGGCACTCGCATTTGTCACTGAAATTATACATCTTAGACAAACCTGATCGCGATTAGTTTCGAATAGTTACGAATCCTCAATTTGGCCGCCTGCTTGGAGGCACTCTTTGACTGACATGCAAGACCACGACTTCTCCGGGTTTACGGTAGATTTCTGCTCTCCTTTGATGGAGAACGCATTCAAAATTGCAAAGTGCGCAATTAGCAAAAGAACCGTGCTTGTCGGTAGCATTCTTATTTTGAGACTGGGTTGATGGCGGAGCCACCCACAAACCGGATACGTGTAAATAAGTTTCCGTTCGAATTGCGGTTTTTGAATGCGTAGTAGAGAAACGCTCTTCATTGTATCTTAATCAGATTTGCAATGAACTGGGTCAAAACAAAAGAACGTTCTCTTTACAATTCACCAATTAATGGATGCATCTCATCTTTACGGCAAAGAAACATAAATAGCCCTCTATAATAAATGATCATAAGGGTAATAAAAAGCGCTTTGGGTGAGAGTGTCACCGTCTGAGGGGTATGGAATATTCCCCAGGAAAAAACACATTTTGAGAACGATGAATGCGGCGAACGTTCCGCTTAGAGTCTTCAGAAATTTGTTTCTAAAATTCGTTCCTGGTGGGTATTCCCGCTTCCTCTCAGAACACTGCGAATTGATGAATTCATGAAAGCTTAGGGCTCTTAATACTTTGGGAGAAAACGCACTACCGGGGTGCTGGGGGGGGGGGGTATGGATTACCCCCCAGTACAAGGAGAATCGACTTCATTTGTTTGAAAATTACCTTGACAGTTTCTATCGGGAAGGAGTCATCAAATGTCCACTTCTGGGGGGTTTTCTAGACCCCCCCAGACCCCCCGGTGTTACGTTCTCCAAAATGTTCAGCTCTTAGAAGTCTCGTGTATGGAATGTCGTGTCAGCAAACCAAAAATTCAGTACTTCATTGGAAATAATCAAACATTTCTGAGAGAACATACCACCGGGGGGTCTGGGGGGTATGGAATACCCCCCAGTACAAGGGAGAATCGACTTCATTTGTTTGAAAATTACCTTGACAGTTTCTATCGGGAAGGAGTCATCAAATGTCCACTTCTGGGGGGTTTTCTAGACCCCCCCAGACCCCCCGGTGTTACGTTCTCCAAAATGTTCAGCTCTTAGAAGTCTCGTGTATGGAATGTCGTGTCAGCAAACCAAAAATTCAGTACTTCATTGGAAATAATCAAACATTTCTGAGAGAACATACCACCGGGGGGTCTGGGGGGTATGGAATACCCCCCAGTACAAGGGAGAATCGACTTCATTTGTTTGAAAATTACCTTGACAGTTTCTTTCGGGAAGGAGGCATCAAATGTCGACTTCTGGGGGGGTATTCCATACCCCCCCCCCCCCCGACCCCCCGGTGTTACGTTCTCCAAAATGTTCAGCTCTCAGAACTCTCGTGTAATGAATGTCGTGTCAAAAAACAAAGATTCAGTACTTCATAGAAAATCAACAAACATTTTGGGAGAGAACATACCACTGGGGGGTATGGAATACCCCCCAGTACAAGGGAGAATCGATTTCATTTGTTTGAAAATTACCTTGACAGTTTCTTTCGGGAAGGAGTCATCAAATGTCCACTTCTGGAGGGTTTTCTATACACGCTTCCTCCCAAAACGTTTAGAACCTATTTTCAGAGAGACTCGGCTAATCTCTTCGGAGATTTTTTAAGAGCCCGATAAAAAAGGGCTGCGGGCTCATAACATTTTGGTCGCCCCTACCGAGAAGTGCCCTAAAGCGTATAAGATCATCTGGCGTTGTCCAGAGTTGCCACTGCTTTTGTAGTAAACCGCTTCATTATGGATGTTTTAAAGATTGAGAGGGAATAGAGCAAATTGCTGTCATTATGAACTTACGTGACTCAATAAGAACAGTATATTCTACTCACGTCATTTGGGACGCTTACACAAAGAGCAATTTCAAAACAATTATCGCATATATGTCATTCGGTAATTATGAATTCTTGGTCACTCGACCGCATTACGGTCAATATGTACACGAAGAGGAAAGAGTCTGGATACCGTCCACGTGCTTCGGTACCAGAGAATTGCGTCAAATTTAATCCTGTCCGAGACTTGGGAGGAAACTGAACTTTCGAACGACTGGCAAATTTCCTTATTTTCCCACCCCAGCATTTTCAAAAACGTTCATCTCCAATGAAATTGTTGTCGCTGCGCTCACAGGAAATTGCCACATTTACTACGAAAGTGGTATGCACTACCTCGAGTACAATTATTAAAGGTCGAAAACAACCTTCCCGAAACGTGTTTTAAAGCTAAGATAAACTGCAATTAGTGGTAAGAGTAGGTACAATTAGCTTGTCGAATCGATTAGTACAAATTTCCTTGCGGTAATTCCCAACGTAGTAAATAAGCGCGTTATTGGATCCGTAGAAAATTTTTAAAAGCTTAATTAAAAAAGTGCAGGTAAATTGCTTTTAATTGGGCCAAATCGTAGAGGTGGTATTTTGAAGTTTGCGATAAGTACCTACTATCAAAAGTTCTTGCGCGATCCACTCCGTGCGTGCTTGTAGATAGGATAACATCGTGTCGTTCGTCCTCGAAATGTGATTGTGCTGTTATTGAAGAGAAGAAAAAAAACGCGCGTCCAAAATGACGATGAAATTAGATGGCCAACGCATCAGCAAGAATCTCTTCCAATATGTCGCAATGTTTTCTGGTAAGAGGCAACCGGTTCCGTTAGGTTTCTACCAGCAGCTCCAATTGCAGGTGGTCTGGCGATCATTTGCAGCGGAATGCATTACGGATGGCCGTCGGCGTCGCTGCCCAAACTGGAGGGAATCGCGACCAACGAGGAGGGATCCTGGATGGCAGTCATGCCGCTGGTTGGTGCGATGTGTGGTTCGCTCTGCGGAGGCTTAGTGGTCGATCTAATCGGGAGGAAAAAAACGATCCTACTCTCTACGTTTCCATATTTCATAGGTTGGATTCTGGTGGCCTATGCCAAGTCAGTTGTTGTGATACTCGTGGCGCGTTTCCTCGCCGGAATCGGTGACGGCTTCTCCTTCTCCGCACTTCCCATCTACCTAGGAGAAATATCAGATCCGCGCATTCGAGGATCGATCGGATCTAGCATTTCGGTAGCTTGGATTTTCGGCATCCTACTGGCGAACGTTTTGGGATCGTACCTCTCTGTCACACTCGCCGCGCTGATATCGTCCGTCCTTCCTGCCGTCTGTCTGATCACGTTCATCTGGATGCCGGAGAGTCCCTACTATCTCCTAATGAAGGAGAACGACGACGAGGCGCGGAAGAGCATGGAAATCTTTCACGGGAAAGGTAACATCGAAAACGAACTGGAAAGGATGGCAAAGGAAGTGAAGGAGCACAACGCCAGCAACGGAAGGTGGGTGGACCTCTTCCTCGTGCCCAGCAATCGTAGAGCACTCATCGTCATGCTGGGCACGCGCGGCTTCCAACAACTCACCGGAACTACGGCCATCACCTTCTACGCCTACACCATCTTTGACAACGCCAGCAGCCTCGTCTCCCCAAGCGTCGCCTCAATTATCTACTTCACAGTGCAAGTAATTTTCTGCGTCATCTGCTCGATGATCGTTGACAGAACGGGCCGTCGACCGCTCATGATCATTTCGATAATCGGCTCGGGCATCGCCCTCTTCATCGAAGGCACCTACTTCTTCCTAAAGGACGAGACGAACATCAACGTCGACGACTTCAGCCTGGTGCCGGTGATCGCGCTGGTGCTCTTCGTCGTAATGTTCAGCGTCGGCATGCAGGGCGTTCCCATTTTACTCCTCAGCGAGCTCTTCCCGACGGACGTCAAGGGTTTCGCGGTCTGCTTCGCGGACATCTACTTCAGCGCGCTGGCGGCGACCGTCTCGAAGTGTTTCCAAATCACCAAAGACCATTTCGGCCTGTGCGTGCCGTTCTTCGCCTTTACCGGTTGCTGTATCGTCGGTTTAGTTTTTATTATCTATAACGTACCCGAAACGACTGGGAAGACTCTCGAAGAGATTCAGGAGGGATTTCGCAGCGAGGAGGTCGAAGATTTTAGAGAGCGTTATAAGGAGAACGAAGAACTTTGAGACTGATTACTGTTTTAGTATTTTATTGATCTTTTGATCCTTTCTGTAGTTGTTATTCACAATGTCGTTCCTTTTATTTAAATAAACAAATGCTAAGCTATCGGAGATCAATCTTTACGCCTGTTAGGAATTGTCGACGTATGAGCCAAACTTCAGTGAGAAATTTTTCCACAACATCTTCAGTTTCTTCCATTTTCTTCGGGTTTTTCGACTATCTTTCTTCCCAGTTTCCTCAGCAGATCTTCCTACGGGTTTCCGACTCCCTCTTCATCTCGCTCGGGACCAATTTTGAAATTTCTCGTTGAAAATTGAATTGAAAGTCTATTTTAATGCCGAGCTATCAAAGGAAAATTTCGACAGAAATAGATCCAACCCACCAGACCTTTCTTCTGACTAAATTTGTGCAGAACTGGCCTTAGGCTCGCTCGGCATTTTTGATTCAAGAAAAATCTAATAGTTCCAAAACCAATGGTAAGCGAGCCGAAGACGAGTTCGGCACAAATTTACTTCTGCCATTAGACCTATTCTCTGACTAAATTTGTGCCGAACTCGTCTTCGGCTCGATCAGCATTAAAATAGCTCTACTATTAACACTTCAAGAAAAATCTAATAATTCTAAAACGAATGCCGAGAGAGGCGAAAGTGAGTGCGGCACAAATTTACTTCCCCCATCAAGACTTTTATTCTGACAAAATTTGTGCCGGACTCGCCTTCGGCTCGCTCGGCATTAAAATAGCTCTACTATTAACACTTCACGAAAAATCTAATAATTCTAAAACCAATGCCGAAGGAGGCGAAAGCGAGTTCAGCACAAATTTACTTCCCCCATCAAGACTTTTACTCTGATAAAATTTGTGCCGGACTCGCCTTCTGCTCGCTCAGCATTAAAATAGTTCTACCATTAACTCTTCAAGAAAAATCTAATAATTCCAAAACCAAAGTTCGGCACCAATTTATTTCCCACATTCACAATTACTCCAGACGAATAGTGCGAGTTTGTTTTCGAGCTATCACTTTTGCTTCAAAGTTTAATAGCAGATCTGTTTTTATGTCGGACTCGCCTTTGGCTGGCTGGCTTAAAGTATGTAACGTCAATTTAATTAGTGATTTATGGATGTAAAATTAATTATTCATCTTCAGGAACCAACACTATTAACGAGAAACTAAGTTAAAACGCCCCTTAAATAGATTGAGTTAATTATTAATTATTACTTGCCTGTACTCAAACGTATGACACTTCGATTTAGAACACACATTTATTACTTCAGTATCGATGTTGAGACTGAAACTAAACACTATTCATTTTGCTTATATAGCAAACAAAAAGCCTCTAGAGAAGTCGCGAATCAGCATAAGAATGAGTCACATCCGCTTTCATTCCTTATCACCGGTGATTAATCCTTTATCGACTTGACTGCGCCTTGATGTCGCTCGAGAAAATTCGCTACAAACTTTTGAAGACCTTTATGCATCTTCCAAGGGCCTCAAAGCGCCTCAAAAGTTTGTGTCTTTGGGATCTTTTGATAGGGTCTTTAAGTTGCTTTCAGTTTTATTAATACTTAAAGTATTTAGGAGGAATTTTCAAGAGTCTGTAATGGTTCAAAGTTGATTTTCGGATTATTGCCCCAAAAAAAGATTTGATTTGGTCTTCTCCATCGCAATATGTACAAAAGCTACCTACTTTATTTAAATAATTGATTACATGTTAACTAGATCCGTTTACAAAAATACTGTCGGTCAACGACATTTCACTTAAATTTCTGGGTTTTTTCGATACTCCTCCGTCGTCTCCTTAGAATCCTTCCCTCTAAAGCACTGCTGAATTTCTTCCAAGGTCTTTCCGTTCGTCTCCGGAACGACGTGGTACATAAAGAGCAGTCCCAAAAAACAGAAACCGGAGAAGGCGAAGAACGGCACGTGCAATCCGTAGTTGTCCTTGGTAATTTGGAAAAACTTGGACACGATGGTCGCGACCAAGCTGAAGTAGATGTCGGCGAAACAGACGGCGAAGGCCTTGACGTCCGTCGGAAAGATCTCGCCGAGGAGAAGGATCGGTATGCTCTGCATTCCGATGCTGAAGATGAGAACGAAGGCGATCATCGCAATGATCGGGATGACACTGTAGTCGTCCACGTCAATTTCGGTTTCTTCCTTTATGAGGAAGTAAATGGCCTTGACGAGTAGCGCGATTCCCGAGCCGGTGATTGAGATTATGAGTAGCGGCCGACGTCCCGTTCGGTCGACGATTACGGAACAGCACGTGCACACTACTACTTGTATTGTGAAGTAGATAATTGAGGCAACGCTTGGTGATACCAGATCGCCGACGTTGTCGAAGATGGAGTACGCGTAGAAGGTGATCGCGGAAACTCCGGCGAGCTGCTGAAATCCGCGCGTTCCCATCATAACGTAGAGCGCCTTGCGGTTGCTCGGGACCACGAATAGGTTCAGCCATTTTCCGTTGGACGCGTTGTGCTCTTTGACTTCTTCGGCCATTACCTCTAGCTCTCTTTCGACCTCCTGTTTGCCGTTGAAAATTCGCAGACTTCTGCGCGCCTCCGATTCCTGCCCCTTCATCAGAAGAAAGTAGGGAGTTTCGGGCATCCAGATGAAGGTCACGAAGCACAAGGCGGGAAATGCGGACGATATCAGGGCCGTCAGCGATATCTCCAAGTACGATCCGATCGCGTTGATGAGCATTATGCCGAAAATCCAGGTCACCGAGACGCTCGAGCCGAGCAGTCCGCGAATTTTCGGATCGGAAATCTCGCCGAGGTAAATGGGGAGGGCGGTGAAAGTCAGACCGTCCGCGATTCCGGCGAGAAGTCGCGCGACCATGAGGACGGCGAACGACTTGCCGTACGCGACCAGCATCCAGGCGGTGAAGAACGGAAACATCGCGAAGAGCAAGGTCTTCTTTCTTCCGATGATGTCGACGATGTAAGCACCACAGAGCGAGCCGCACACTGCGCCAACCAACGGCATCACGGCCATCCAGGAGCCCTCCTCGTTGTCCACCCAGCCTTCCAACTTGGGCAAAGAGGGCGAGGGCCATCCGTAGTGCATTCCGCTGCAAATAGTCGAGAAGGTACCTAAAACAGATTTTGCCATCGGTTCTTCACGAGTAGGTGACTTACCCGAAACCATGGCGAGGTATTGGAACAGATTTTTACAACCCCACATCATCTCCAACTTAATCGTCATTTTCGACCTTCTTTCGTGAACACGTCGATTAGAACTGAATGCATTTTTACTCTCATTACTAAACGACAACAACACAAAGACTGGTACGTACGAATCGCATGACTCAATGAGCAAAAAATTCAACAATCGCACAAAGAGAGATTGCCATAGCGAATTTTTCTGTTCGAATTGTTTTCAATTGAAAATGTTCGCCGCTGCCGAGACTATGAATCGAAATATTCGGACGAGCCAAACCTTGAGATTCGCGCATAAAAATATCAGCACGAGCCACGGCGTGGTACTCGATAATTCAGTTCATTATTGAGCGTTAAAAAAAGCACGCGATTGTTACCGTTTTTGTGATAACGCGCGAACAAAAGCACCTCCAAGTGCCAGTATCCATTGGGAAAGTCCGCGTCACGTTTTATCACCTGGAATCCCGCGTCTCACTTGAGGTATGCGGCGGTGGCGTGGTTCAGCCGAATTTATCCAAGTGGGCAGCCGAAGAAGATCTTTAGTATCACACTGAGAGAGGTATCGAGAAGATGCCGTTCGAAGCACCCTCAAAAATTGACTGATTTTCAAGGAAAAGAGATAGGCAACTGTTAAACCATCGCTGCATACCTTGTATCAGGTAATACCACGTTGGCGCACCTCCCTCGACTTCTTGCGTTGATGGTTTTTGACTTATTTTTTCTTTTAAGGGAGCATCGAATCCGAAAAGTTCATGGTGTACGGTACTAATTTTTGCATTTAATTTCTTGTCACTTTTGGAGGAAAAAACCCAGAACCATATTCGAAACGTTTAGGACCTTCAGAACTCTCGAGAGATTTTTCTCCGCTCCACTCCACCAGTTAATCATTGCTGGTCCCTTCACTCAACGTGGAGGACCTCGGTCATTTTTCGAGAAAGATTCAATGAATCTTTATTTCCTGGAAGATGTTCCTGGAGAGTATTCCAAACCCCTCGGTACTAGACTCTCTCTTGAAATGTAAACAAGTTTTTAGCACCCATATGACCAGTTACCAGGAAATACCATCAAAATTCTTTTCCTAATTCAAAGTAGATCCATTGAATATTTCTGTCCTAGGTATATTCCTAGGAGTTATTCCATACACTCCAGACTCCCAAACGCTATCCAAGATATAAGATTCTCTCTTGAAAAGGGGGATTTGGTGAATATTTTTACCTGGGGTGGTATTCTGTACCCCCAACAGGTCCACCTTATGAGCATCGATCAGGGATCGTACTTACTCGCCGGATCCCCTTAGGAATTTGGATCCGTCTATTTCTATCTAGGTCGACCAGGCAGCATTTAGGCACACTAAAGGTCGATTGTGCTTACTCCCTTTTCGCACTCCCCCCCCCCCCCCCCGGCCCGGTCACACATTCGCTCTCAAGCCTGGTGATCTAAAGACCAGTACCCCGCTCCTAATGTATGCACCCACCAGCTTCTCCATCGTATGTAGAAGAAACCAGCTCTCTCCAGCTTTCGGGGATATGTACCCTAAACGACCCCGGCTTACACCGATCCGGGTAGCGCCGTTTGGTGGGTCCGAAGTTATGTAGTCCCCAGGGCCTGGAAAGTGTGCTTTCAGGAGACATGTATTAGGGACATTAGGTTATACTGTAGGGTCTAAACGTTGTGGAAAAGAGCGTATTATAACTGAAAGGGGGGGGGTCTAGGGGATATGGTCCAGGTCCAGGAACAACACATCATGAGTGAAATATTTAGTTAATCTTCTCGAGAATTGTTATTGATCTTCTGAGGGCACTTAACAGGAGATTCGCGGAATATTTCTTACCCGGGATTTGTTACTGGGTGGTATTTACCACCCTCAAGATTATTGATCAGGGTGGGCCATTGATTTTCCTTTTCCTGGAAAGTACCCCATACCTCCCCCACCCCTCTCCATTACTACCCCCTCCACAAAACGTTTAGGCTCTTTAATGGCAATTTCGAGTTTCGCAAAATCTTTCTTTCATAAGACCCCCGTATTAGCGAATTCTCCCTCAAACATGGTATTTAGCATTTTTCGGAGCGGTGGCACTACCGGGAGTAAACCCCCCCCCCCTTCCCCTAATCTCTTTGCGAATTGTTATTATTGTGCTAATGACTCTAAAAGGGAAATTTATATCTTCTTTGCGCGGAAGTGCTGGGGGGGGGGGGTATTTCATACTCCCCGTACATTTTTTCGGACCACTTTGGTTCTAGGAACGTCGACGTGTACCTATTACTTCCTTCCCCTGGTCGATCAACGTGTAGTGATCCCGCACTCACGATCAAACACGAAGATCCCTCTAGACTCAAAGCAGTTTGACTTGTCTAGTAGTACACAGTGCCAGAGTGCTGTTCATTGTAACGGTAGTCCGATTTGCAGTAAGTTTCGAATTCGTATAGGAACATTTCCATAGATTTATACGTCTTTCGCTATAAAAACCGTTGCACGTCATTGATTTATGAATCAATTTCAGACAAGTTTTCTATAGATTTCGCACACTACTTGTTTTTTTTTGTACATGTTGCAGTGTTGCAGCATATGTCTGAAATTGATACACAAATCAATGACGTGCAACGGTTTTTATAGCGAAAGACGTATACCATCAGCGAGTTTGGTGTAGCGACAGCGAGCGTATTTGGAAAACCATGCGCTGTTTTGGTGATTACGGCGTCTCCGGCTAGCGTGGTTGCGTAGAACCGTGCGGGGACGGGTTATGAAATATGGGTGGATTATTGGACCACAGCGAGCGTTGATTCTGGTTCGGTTTTTTATTTGGGCAACTTCATATAGAAAATTAGAGAGGGAAAATAGCGAATTCTCGCTTAACTTCGATCGCAATAGCGTGCGACGTTTAATTTTTACAATCGTCCGTGATCAGTCACACGATTTTAAGAGAAATCGCCGCAATCAACGCGGACTGGCGAATATGAAATCGGCCGTGCCAATTTTTTGTGAATCGCGGAACAATTGCAAAGCGATGGACCTAGTTAAACTCGTGTACAAGATTGTCCAACTAGTCGAAAGTGAGATCCGTAACGCAGCTAGCTCTCGTGTTAATAAAATTTCTAGAAAAACGATTCGTTTGAGTGCAGCGCGTAGGCATACTCAACGGTTTTCAATAGATGAGACAAAAAGGGGAATTAAACGAACTTTTAGCGACCTAATTTTGGCTCTGTCGTGAAACGATCTTCGTACAAATAATCACAGGCAATTGCATGAGAGCAAGTATCATCCCAAAAGCGATCCAGTTTTCAATGTTTCTTGGAGGGAGCCTTTTGAAGGGAGGGCGATACCATTTGTGACTTAATGAAAAAACTGATTCCAACGATATCTGTACCCCGGCCCATCGTGTTCTCGTTTGTTGGAGGTACGATGGCGTCCGTGCTTCTTTGTTAGCAAGCATTGTGTAAGCCGAAAGGTACTCTAACCTTAGAGGCATTTACTGTACCTGCACTACGTGCGATTTGCCAAGAGCCGAATCAACCTCAACTACCCCGAAAGTATATTGCTTGGCCAAGACCAAGACAAGGAGAGGCGGGGGGGGGTGCTGTTTGGACATGTAATTAATCTAAAAATATATTTGGCAAACAGTGTAAACCACAAATATTGTGCGTTGCATTAAAATGTAGGTATTCCTAGTCACTAGTGCGTGCATTCGAGTACTTCGCGTCTTCCGACCGGCAGCGGAGGTCTGAAATTCGCCATGACGAATCCCTCGTGCTTGTCGATCGGGCACATTCCCTCCTTGCAGTAATTCCTCAGCATTCGACAGGTTTTCAGCTGCGAATTCGCATTTTTATAGCCGTCGAGGGTAAAAACAATCTCACCTGCTCCTGCGAAACCTCGATCGGCTGTTTGAATAGCACCCAAACCACGCACTCGTGGCAGGGGGGCGTGGTCAGTGAGCCTTGGTAGGTCCAATATGCGCTGTTTTCGGGGATAAACGCGCTCGGGTCGATGGGGATGCCTACCGGTTTCGCTTGGTCTTTAAATTGGACGTTGTGGACTTGCGCAACTACTTTGTTGAACTCGTAGTGATTTTTTCCAGGCTGAAAATGAATCAGTGAGTATGACCGGTGCTAAGCGCATCAGTGTACCTGTAGCAGAATTCCTAAAACGCATAATCCATCGGGGTGTTTCAGCGCCTCCTCAACGGAGCTATACCTGGTGTTCCTGTGCACTAAGTGCAACTGAAACACAAACATAAGCCACACTTTCAGCGCAACAAACCCTCACCTCCCCCGCGTACTTCTTCCCATTGATCGTGTGCTCGGACCCTTCGGTGTCGGAACCTCCCCAGTGACAGTGGAACTGCTCCAAGACGTACTTGTCCTTTAGCGGCCCCCCGCTCAGTTCTGCAAGTGAAAGGTTGATAAATCGGCCGAGACCGCTCGACGAATCGCGTACCCGAACCGGATCCGTTAACCTCCACCTTCCAACCGTTGCCGGTGTTGGTGATCCTCTCCGTGTTCTCGGGGATGTACTTCCAGGTGAGTTTCTGCGTCGGCACGAAGGTCTTCAATTCGTCCGGGTTGATGTCGATCGGGCTTTGCCTCTCGCCTTTCGCCGCGGGGAAACATTCCGACCACGTCAATGGACCTGGAAAATCAAGAACACGTAAAAAAACCTTTTTTAATCGTGGCCCCAAGGGGTATATGGACTGCCTCTTCATCTTTTCTCGATATATCGATCTCGTGGAGTATGAAATATTATTCAGGAAAGGAAGATTTGATCGTCTTTACACCTTAGTCGCGAGGCCTGAACGTTTTGAGAAGGTCGAGGGGGGGGGGGGATGAGAAACTCCTGGGAGAGACAGATTCGATCACCCTCTCTTGATTGACACTTACTACGAATGAACTAAAGGCTGTAAGGTAACACCAGGTGGTCTGCGGGGTATTAAAACTTGTCAAAAGAAAAAGGATTGAGTACCTTTTCTTACCAGGAGGGTGGGGAAGGCTGTAACGTAGCAACGGAGCTGATTGAAGGGACCGCCCCCCCCCCCTAGCTATTTCAAGATCTTAGAGACTTCATCACTCCTATGATTATTTTTAGGGAGGGCTTTCGTACTTCCTTTTCCTAGGAAGTATTCTAGACTCCCTTCCTGTACGATTGCTTTCCCCTGCCCTTGAATATTCTGTCAATGGGGGTTGGTAGAAAAGGGGATTCAACGACCTCCCTGAAAGTCTATTATAAAACTGACCTTTTGATGCTCTTTCGCGTTACTCTCAGAGGTACACATCTCAACGACTTGAGGATCTTTTGGAAGATCTTCCAAGTTGCTTGCAAGCTCATGGAGACCGTTTAAAACTCACTTAAATAGTCATAAAGCGTATTAATGGTTCTTAAACGTATTTTGAAAACCTTCTATACACTCTAAAGGCCAGTTAAAGCTTTCAAAACCTCCAGAAGGCCATTGGAGGACTCTTAAAGGCCCATAAAAAGATTACTGTAAGCATTTAGAACACTTTTCTAGACGCTTGAGGTTCAAGTTCTTAGAAACTGGCGCACTTGTAGAGGCTCAAAGGTCACTACAAGGTTCAAGTAACGGTCGAACAAAAAAGGATTGACATCAAGTCGCCTTTGGAAGTTCAAGTTATGATTACCAGATGTAAACAAAAATTCCAAGGGTGACTCGACAGCAACTTTTTTTTCATCGCAATATAGTATGCGATCAAAAATGAGTTGCTGTCGAGTCACCTTTGGAATTTTTGTTTACATAGGAAATTGCACTTCCAAAGGCGACTCGACAGCAACTCATTTTTGATCGCCGTTTATTATCTTTGATCATTGACAAATATTGGGCCATGGCTCTTAAGTCTTGCTAACTAATTGTTCAAAATTTGTCGTAAATGGAGGCTACGATTATTGATACGGTCAGGAAATGTGTATCGACTTTATATTTCCGCCACCCGGAAGCGCAACGGAAATTGCTGCAATTGGAACGAGTTTAATTTAATATTGAAATGTTTTGAAGGAAATTCTCGTTACGAAACGCAAGTTAAGTGGATTGCATTAGCTTAACCGATCAGTTTACAAAACACATTTAAGAAATTTATGAGAATTGTGTTGTTTAGGTCATTTCCATACGACGATGAGTCAGGCGCTTGAGCTCAGCATCTATTATTTAAAAGATTAGAGTCACGTGCAGCACAGCCTCCTTAATTCAATAAAGAAATCATGCGTAAGTGAATGATAATTGAAACGGGATCATTTTCAAGGTCGCTGTTCACCTACACACGAGCCTTCGAACCGCACACCACGAATGACTTTGTGGCGATCGTCTTACTTACCGGGAAGGTTTTGGGTTGTAAGCGTGAAAGTGCTATTTTTAGGACACTTTAATTTTATTGCCCCCAACAAACAATAACGAAAGTATCTGGGTGACCTTGAAACTAGTTATTATTTGACCAGAAATCGACGAGTATCGCAATCGCGACCGTTTTTCTTTTACATAACGCGGCGATTGCAAAGTTTATCGACAGATAGCTACAGAATAATAGAAAAGTGTTGTTTCTCTTATCGCCCAACCCGCGGCACTTTTTTTGAGAAAAATTTGATTAGATAATCGCTAACTGCTCCGAATGTTTCGCTATAAAACCGCCGATGTTTCGCAAGTATCCCAACTTGCACTTTGTTTGCAAATGCTCTCTTTCGAAATATGCAAATCTTAACCTTGTTGGCTTGATAAACCGGCGTGAGTACCATGGCAACGAATTATCGTGACCCTATGAAAGTCACAAATATTCCAGGACGAAAATGTTTTTCTTGTGTGGTGTACCTCAGGGACCCATACCAGGGCCGTCTTCTGCAAACCATCTCGACGAAATAGTAGTAAAAAGATGGGAGCATTGGAACAAAACTTTTTTTAAATTTTAAGATATCATTCATTTGGTGAGGATTCGACCAGATCAATCCGTGGATTATTTTTTGGCGTATCAGAGACATATTAAATCCAGATCTTAGATTAACTTATGGGAAAAGTTTTCAACGATTACAGTTCGAAAATAAAATTGTATTAATCAGGTTTTGGTATGGAATTCCCTCTCTCCAGAAATACACCCCAAAAAACGAGGGTTCGATATCTCTTTCTATAGTATACTCTTGGCATCATAAGAAGACTAACATTTTTGTAGGAGAACGCAGTACCGATTGAATACTCCCCAGTATCCGCAATTTCGATTAGACGTTTTAGAATGAGGACATATGGGGGGGGGGGGGGGGTGGTTGGAGCTCTCCTCCCCCAGTTTGAAGAAGAAACGTTGGGCTCTTTCTGAAAAATGGATCCTCTCATAACTAATCATTGTTTAGGCAGCCCCCAATTTCTTTTCCATACCTCCAGACCCCCGGTGCTACGTTGTCACCCAAAACGTTCAGATCCGCTCCTTTGATAATTTTTCAAAGAATCCCCAATTTCCCCTTATCTGGGGGTCATTCCCCCAACTTCTGTGCTACGTTCAGCTCTCTCATTATGACTCTTCAGTAAGAATCCGAGGTGATCATGAGAGCGCTGGTGACTGTCGACGTTTCGGGATGAGAACGTAGCACCAGGAAAAACTGGCGAACCTTCCTGAATAATGAACATTGTTTAGATGTGGGGTATTCCAATACACCTCAGTTATAACAAAGAGTTGGGGAAACTTTCTAAAGAATAATCATTATAATTCTCCAGGAAGGACTCGCAACCTCTTGCCTCCGTGTGATGCAAACATTTCATGATGCGCAAGTAGTACGGGGAGGGGGGGGGGCATACCCCCCGCAAACGAAAATTAGATTGCGCGTACCCGAAGACAATTACAAGACTGCTAGGAACAATAGGGAAAGAGTCATCGTGCTTTCTTGGAAAGTATTTTTATTTCTGGGGGGTATTACATATATTATATGCCCCCAGACCCCCCCGATACTATGATAGTTCCCAAAAACTTTTACTGTTACCATTCACACGATCAATATTCGAGAAAATGTTACCACATCACGTTCACAAAAAAGGTTAAAGGCAGACGAATTTATTTAGTGGGAAAACGTAGCACCGGGGGGCCTGGGGGGTATGGGATACCCCCCAGTAAGCGAAAATTAGATTACGCGTTCCCGAAGACTATTACAAGGATGATAGAAGGAATAGGGAAAGAGTCATCGTGCTTTCTTGGAAAGTATTTTTATTTCTGGGGGGGTATTACATATATTATATGCCCCCAGACCCCCCCCCCCCCCCGTACTACGATAGTTCCCAAAATCGTTTACTGTTACCATTCACACGATCAATATTCGAGAAAATGTTACCGCATCACGTTCACAAAAGGTTAAAGGCAGACGAATTTAGTGGGAAAACGGAGCACTGGGGGGTATGGAATCCCCCCCCCCCCCGCAAACGAAAATTAGATCGCGCGTACCCGAAGACAATTACAAGAGTGATAGGAACAATAGGGAAAGAGTCATGGTGCTTTCTTGGAAAGTATTTTTATTTCGGGGTAGTATTACATATGTTATATGCCCCCAGACCCCCCCGGTACTACGATAGTTCCCAAAAACGTTTACTGTTACCATTCACACGATTAATATTCCAGAAAATGTAACCGCACCACGTTCACAAAAAGGTAAAAGGCAGACGAATTTAGTGGGAAAACGTAGCACCGGGGGGTATGGAATACCCCCCGCAAACGAAAATTAGATCGCGCGTACCCGAAGACAATTACAAGAGTGATAGGAACAATAGGGAAAGAGTCATGGTGCTTTCTTGGAAAGTATTTTTATTTCGGGGTAGTATTACATATGTTATATGCCCCCAGACCCCCCCGGTACTACGATAGTTCCCAAAAACGTTTACTGTTACCATTCACACGATTAATATTCCAGAAAATGTAACCGCACCACGTTCACGAAAAGGTAAAAGGCAGACGAATTTAGTGGGAAAACGTAGCACCGGGGGGTATGGAATACCCCCCAGCAAACGAAAATTAGATTACGCGTTCCCGAAGACAATTACAAGAGTGATAGGAACAATAGGGAAAGAGTCATGGTGCTTTCTTGGAAAGTATTTTTATTTTTGGGGGGTATTACATATATTATATGTCCCCAGACCCCCCCGGTACTACGATAGTTCCCAAAAACGTTTACTGTTACCATTCACACGATCAATATTCGAGAAAATGTTTCCGCACCACGTTCACAAAAAGGTTAAAGGCAGACGAATTTAGTTGGAAAACGTAGCTCTGGGTGGTATCACCCCTCTCCTCCACCGGCTACCCGTAGCACCATGCGTACCTATCCCCAGGCAATTTTGAGAGCCTTGGCGACCACGAAAATCCCTGAGTAAACATTTTCCAAGCGATTTCTCCGACTTTTGATATGTTTATAATTTTGCAATAATAATCGATATTTTTTTGTATCCATTACGTAATTTTCAAAGAAGCGGTCAATCCGTATTTTTCTTCGGATTTTTCTGAACGTTGCTGATACGAACGGCGTGCAAAAATTTCGGCCAAATCGTTCTAATTTCCCTGGTAAAGAGTCATCGTGTTTTCTTGGAAAGTATTTTTTTGGAATTCCCCTCGCCTCAGACCACCTGGCGCTACTTTCATGCCAGAAAACTTTTAGTATGGAGTATGGGAAGAAAAATTCCACTGTCCCTTCCAAAAAACGATCATAACAATTTTTAAGGCCGAATAATTTTGTAGGAAAACTAGGGGATCCCCTGGATTATTTATTTTGAGGACGATAATGTAACTCACGCCCGCTAAAAAAAAAAAAAATCCCCACACTTTGTAATTGTAATGAAAATTTAGTTTCCAAAAATCTGCTCGTTTCGAGCAACCGCTTAAAATATGATATTTACGATAAAATCTATTTTTATGAATTCAAAAATAAAATTCTATTTTTTACTGAAATTACCCAGAGTGAAAAATGAAAACAATTGGTGGGCGATTAGGAAATAAATTCACCCAATTTGACACCCTTTGACCTTGCGGTTAAGTGGTAAATTAGCGCAAGCTTTCCACCTCGCGTCGCCGACCGAAGAAAATTTTCGCCCATCGGAAAATTAATTGCTTTTTAGTATGTGAAAGTTCCAAGGTCGTCACAGATGCGTGATTAGTGTATAAACAAAAGTGGTATTGTAGAGGTGGCACTTACCATTTTTCGAGCTGTATCCCCATTCGACCGCCATCTGAAAAAGCGAAGAGTCGTTCATCATTTAAAAAGCCGAGAAACTATTGTCTGTTATTACCTTTTAATGGATTACTTATTTAATAGTCTAAAATTACCGTACACCACAAAAGCACGAGCGCTAATGAAAGATAAATGGAAATTAACTTTTAAAGGAATTTTGTTTTGTCTTTATCAGCGCTGATTAAAATACGGCGGCAAACAAACTTATCATCACTCACTTCGTAAAACTAATCCTTCCCAACACACGCGCTCGTCGCTTACCTTCAAAACTGTCCCAAAAAATGTCACTTTAAGCAGGTACTACTCTCGGCGGACCAAGCTAAGAGAGGAGGCGCCCAACTGCGGGTTTTTGTTGTCCGAAGCTCCTATTAAAATCTGGTATCCTTCACTAAACCCCACTCTCTCACTCTTCGAAAACACGGGAACTCACTCGGACGGTTTGCCTTATTACATTTTTCGAATTTCGATCGGGAAAATTGAGGAAAATTGCTCAGATTGACGTTTAGCTTATAGCGCGCTGCCCGCACGAATTCTTCAAAATGAATAAATAATTAAAGTGACATTCAATTACGGACGGTCAGTACATTAAATGGCCATTTAATTTAATTGCGTTACAACCACGGCATTTGTCGCCGGAACGGTAACGAAAGTTCGCGTGCGTGTAGTTTGGAGGGAAATGAAGCCCTTATCGCTTTTACATTAGGTCGTTCAAAGTCGCAAAGTAAGGGCGAAATTGACAGTTCGTTTACATAGGCGAGATGCAATGAGTCGCTGTCGCCTAATTTCGAAATTGCGTGTAAAATTTCGAAAACCCACAGCTACTTCTTTAGCTTCATGCCTTTTTCACCTTCACCACTTCTGATTACCTTGCTCCCGTTTTTCGCCCGTTACTTCGACCCTTTCATAACCATTCTTCAGCAAAAAAAAACGTAATTTATTTCATGAGGTGGGGGCGTCTTCTATACCCCTCCCTTAAACTAGTTTCTCCTCAGCACTGTCGTCCAAGGATCATCGAATTTGTTCCATACTCCCTAGACACTAGACCCTAGAAAATTCATCAAGGAGGGGAGTATTCTGCTCTCCTCCCTGACATTACATGCTCCTCAGCACTTTCGGGAAAGGATTATCGGATTTGCCTTTTTTGTGGGAATGGGACACCTCGATGTTACGATCCCTCCCAGAATGTGTAGAATCCTCAGTACTCTCACAATAGGCGAGCAAGTAGAATAGAATTTCTATCCTGAGAAGGGGCAGTATTTTACACCCCTCCCCTTTTTTATACATTTTTTTAATTTTCATAAAACAATTAATGAGTAACGAAAACAATTGAACTTTTTTAAATGATGGCAGTGCATCTTTTCATTAGGATCAGTTGATTTTTTTCTTTTCGATGATGATATAACATGTTAGTACACAATTCAAGAAAATTTTTCAAAAAATTTGTTTCAATTAGAACAATAACAATAATCCAGATATCATACATCAAAATAAAACAAATGAACGTGTATATGTCATATTGAACCTTGAAGAAAAACCAATGGGGTTCATCGCAATGAATGTTCAAAGTGTTCACCAAAGGCAAAGCAGGATCACAAAAAGTTGGAATAAAAATTAAATTTCTTCCACATGGGTGCTAACGTGTTACGTCATTGAAAAGAGAAAAAATCAAATGAGGCTAATGAAAGTGTGCATTGTTATTTAAAAAATTTCAATTGTTTTTCGTAATTCATTGGTTTTCTGAAATAAAAACAATGAAATGCTGCCTTATTATGGAGAATAAAATGTTAAACAACTTTCATATAGGAAAATTTTTTTAAAATAATTTCATTAAAAAATAAAAACGATTTTGCAAAATTTCGTTTTTTTCCGGATATCTCCGAAAGTAGTCGGAATTTTCTCAGTTTCAAAACTGCATTTTGTTAAGCATCAAAAATACACAACTTCTTCTCTTATATTTCCCGAGATTCCCATGCGGTGGCCCTCGAATTTGAATCAGCCTGTACAGGGTGTTTTTTGGGAGCTTTAGTTAAACGTTTCTGGGAAAGTAAAATACGTAGGTTTTTGAAAATTTATACTTAGAAGTTACTCTGAACGCCGAATCTATGTAAAATATTTTCAAAATGTCCGCACTTCCGAAAACACCGGTAGTAGATAGTAATTCCGTTATTTTAAATGGCAATCCCTATTTTTTATTGCATTTTTGGATTCTACGTGAAATTTCAGTTCTTTTGATACCCACATGTCGATATCTGCCATTTATGATTTTTAAGTTATTTTGACTTTGTGAAAAAAAATGGCGGATGCAGATGGTACCTTGATAATTTATTACTTGAAAACGGTTATAGCCATGGCAACCCATTTTTATCAGTGCATAGAGAATGAATAGGGATTTCTTTTAGTGTACTTAAAAAAAACTTAAGTTGCGTACAACCGCACCTATGGAGATCCAAATTTAAGAAACTTCAAAGTCTATAAACTTAGTTTTTTTAAATGGAATGACCATGTTCTTAATATTGCATGAGATAGAGAATCGAAATTGGCATATTTTGATATTACATGTTCCTATAGCTATCTTTAACAGTTTCTGATTGAATTGACACTATTTTTTTCGGATTTTCTTTTTAGTAGTCGGCCATGATTCTATAACAATTGAATTTTAAACAAATCTAGTCATCACCCACTGTTATAGGTTAACATAAGTTTTTAAAAAATCGAAAAATGACTCGCAGTGGTTTCACCTATTATGGAATTATGGAATTTAATTGTTATTTATGGTGAAATGGGCAGAATCGCGGCGCGCGCTTTCCGTACATTCATTCGAAAACTGGAACGAAATTGTATGAATTTTGGAAATTTTGTACCCACAAATGCACTACAAACCGTTGAAGCTCAAATGATACAAAGCTCTACAAGAGAATATTTAAGAAAATGAATTGAATTGCAAATGCAAGATTAACAAAATAAATTCAATGCAAAATATAAAAAACTTCGTTGAAACATTTTTGGTATGGAATTGTTGCTAGAACAGATATCTGCATCCGCCATTTTTTTTCTTAAAGTCAAAATAACTTAAAATCCATAAATGGCAGATATCAACATATGGGTATCAAAAGAAGTGAAATTTCACGTAGAATCCAAAAATGCAATAAAAAATAGGGATTGCCATTTAAAATAACGAAGTTACTATCTACTTCCAGCGTTTCCGGAAGTGCGGCCATTTTGAAAGTATTTTACATTGATTCGGCCTTCAGAGTAACTCCTAAGTACAAATTTTCTAAAACCTACCTATTTTACTTTCCCAGAAACTTTTAACTAAAGCTCCCAAAAAAACACCCTGTATAAAAACATTTATAAAATTTATTCTTCTATAAACATCAATCCCACTCCATCTTCAAAATGTTGGTATTCTTTAATTTTGTTTCTAGTCCCGCCTAGCCTCATAGATACCCTCTCTGATTATTACTATTTGAAATTTTTACCCTTGCCCAGTTCAATACCTGCCCTGTCCAAATATTTTTCTCCACTTTTCTGGTAGTACCATAGCAGTTCTCTTCAAGAACTGGTCACCCCCCCCCACTCAAAAATAAAAAAAAGTAAAAATTAAAAAAAATGTATCTTTCCTGGAGCAGAGGGAAGCATTCTATACCCCCGCAGCACGTTCGTCAAATGATCATCCAATCTGGGGACGTGGAATACCCCCCAGAAAACAAAAATTCAATAATCCTTTTTCTAAAATTATGATGGAATTGCTGTGGAGGACTTGGCATCGTAAGGCCCGAGGGTTGGGGGTAGGGTTAGGGGGATTGACTCTTTGTTTCCTGTGTGCTGTTTTAGATCCTCCAAGTTTTGGTGATGATCCAAAATATATCAAAATTGGTTTTTTAAATTTAACGCCAGTTACTGAGTGGGCAATAGAGTGTATTTCCATTTTTTTTAATCCGCTTCTTTGCCTTGACGACACTTGGTAACTTAAGTGCTTTCTCATGTAACCTGAGCAATTCTCGTAATAAAAAAGCAAGGTCGAGACCTATTCAAATTTGGAAAAAACAACACCGCATGAGGAGTCACGTGTTACTTGTTGACACAGCTTCACCTTTTTTGAATTAGCTGCGTCAGCGGATTTCGACATTATTTGCGTTTTGCCCCAAGGATTAGATAACATTCTGACGGTCTTTATTTTCAAATAAAAGTGGGGGGTAATGAAGAGATTCTCAACTGGCAACTAAAAATTGTACAAAAAGCAAGAATAATTAATCGGTGTGAAAATAGCATTGTGTAATTTATGGTAATTATTTAATGTATGATTTTTCGTTTTCATTGCGAATTAGTAGAAACGCGTTTGAATGTTAATTAAAGGGATTGTTTGTCAAACAGGATGCGTACGTTTTGAATTGTCAATTGCTTTTAATATCCGTTTGATTAAGAGGTTGCGCGGTCACGTCGCGATGAATTTGCCGCCGCCTGTTAATGGGATGCACTTTGCGATTTAGGCAACGATCGTTACACGTTGTTGGTTATGCAACACTTCAAGCAAATTTAAACCAAAAAAAAAAATGCGAATTTACATTTTAAATTCTCTGTGACCATGCCCCACCATTTTTGGTCTATCTAAAGCCAAATTTTTCTCCTGTAAGTGCTTGTCAGAATTCCAAAGGTTCAGGACAAGAAAGAGCCACCAAAGGCCCCAAAAGGACATTTAAAACTCTTTTTCACGAACCTACAAAAGTCCACCTCCACTTTCCTCGAACATTATAATCTCAAACAGGATTGGTTAAGGTTTAACAGCGGCGGGGGTTCAAAACGATCGAGCAAAGGAGAACTCCACAACCCTTTCCCTGTAAAACTCATATTCTGGAAATGGTAACGGAACTGTTGTGTGTACAGGGTGTTTCAAATTCCTCGTTTTCGATGTTCTTCGGGGATATCTTGATAACTAAGAGAGATAGAGCGATGCGATTTGCACTTCTCTGGGTTACTTTTCAAAGCTGGCCTAGATGTCAGTTTTGGCGTATGACTTGGGCGAACGTGGCAACACTGCAAAAGTTCAAAAGTGCAATAAACAATTTTTGTGGGAATATATGTATAGTTCTTGTTTCAGGAAATGCTCCAAACAACAGTATTTTAATGAATTTTGCTTCATGTATCTCAAACCTGACTGAAACCTATATCTATGGTTTACTCAGACTTTAGATTAATTTATATTGATTACAGAGACTAACTTTTAGATTTATAGAATTTGAACTGAATAAGA